AAACCCTCAAAAGGGGCGAGAGGCAATAGACCACATATCAGCGGACCGCAACACAACAACTTTGGCCGGGCAAATTTGTTTTTTAACACATTCCGGATCGCCGTTGTTAAAGGATCTCCGCATCATTTCGTTACTTTTCAAATCGCAAATCAGTAATTTCATCTGTTTCTTCCACATTCCTATGAGATGTTTGTATTCTGCGTCGAAGAACCTGTGCTGATAGTTTCAGAGCATGAACAGGATGCCAAAGGGACCACACGAAACAGTGCAGAGAGTGAAATGCATGACACACCATGTCTGTCACGCGGTCTGGAACGTGCTATCTCATTTTGTTCTTTCATTTTACAACCCCGCCTACATCGCTTACATTTAGCGTACCTATGCGTGCATGATAAGTAATTTAATGAATAAATAACGAAACGCGTCTCCTAGAACCAGCTTCGGGGGCAGAATAAGGTATGATTTCGACTCATCACGACAACACGGGGTAGAATCCCTTTAAGAGATTTATTGAGTTTTTTGGCGCAGTTTGGCTTGATTGGTGCATCTGTTTATCTCCTATCGATCACTGCCAATGCCTCCTGCGGAGAACTGTAAATACCTGTTAAGCTATGCATTACCAGAAACTTCGTTTTTACTTGACAAGGGTATACAGGTTTTACCAAGGTAAGACGCTCATGTTTACAGGAACTAGCAAAAAAGGAAAATGCCATTCCCAAGCCGAACAGCGCCGCTTTTTCCTTCTACTACAATTATTACTACACATTTTTGTAGCCAAAAATAAAAATCTATCAATATATCCACTAATAGACTAATGAGGGTTGCAGAAAAAATCGATTAAAATCGACTGAAGGGTAGACGAATACTCTACGGCGGTGTACGATAGATTTGAGGACCCTGCAAAAAGTAGCAATGCTTCCTTCTGTGAACGTCGACACGGTTCTGAACACGAACCGGATGGTAGGGACCCTCTGTCAAGTAGTTCTACAATTTCTAGCTCTGAGGAGAGCGATCCCGCAAACGTAAGCCAATGAGAGTCTGGAACAGCTCACCTGGAGCGGAAGCAAAAAACACTACATTCTGCAAAAAGAGACCTAACATTGAAACCAGCAAACGTCGTAGCATGTGGAATTCCTACGGCAGGGGAGGGACGATCTATTTGACAGGCGAATTATTCCTATCTTCGATTTTTCCCGATTTTTTCAACAGCTGATCGAAGTGAACTCCTCCCCCACCCCCCACAACTTTCGGGAAGGGGTCGTATTTCAGAGGATGCTCCCACCCCCAAGAATAAGCCTATGATTAAAAAACAAATAATACGCTATGCTAGCAGGAGTAGTGAGACATCTGTAAGTTCAAAACTGCACACGAAGGTGAGTCACAGGTTATGCACGGCCTAATCTCATATGAAATTCGTTACAACCACCGAATTGTTTCTAAACAATAACTCGCACTGAATCAATCACGGTATAAAAAAATATGCCCAATTCGGCTGAGGCAGCATTTGACTGCCTCTTCCATTATCGTGCTTCATGCTATACAAGTATTACACAGGTTACATACCTGCATCCACCGCCACCACGCCCCGCGACGAATCTGGTGCATAAAATAGCCCACCTAGAACCTACTGCACTTGACCGTTAATTGAACGCGAGACCGACGGATGATAAGATGAGCGACCAATCATCGTCCCTATTCATGACTTTCACAGCAACATTACCGCTCTGAGTGCGCAAATGCAAGAAAACGCCCTCTCGAATCTTGCGCACAAACATCAGAAGCGACAGGAGGTAAATCTGATGTATTGAACCACATACTACCTTACTTTCGTTCAAACTCTGTGCCATTTAATAAAACAAACAGACACTCACCACTAAATATAGCTGCTAAGCAATCACATTTATACCCCCCCCCCCCCCACAAATAATGCGAAGATAGATATTACTAAAAAGGGCATTTGAAGTCCAATCTGGGCAGGATAAATGCATTTCCTCCAAGCATCGCAAGCTACGTGGAATGTCCATCAATCGATGGCTATTCAGAACGAGGCTGCTCCGCCCATTACGTGCGCAGTTCCGTAGGAAAGGGCAGCGAAGAAAAACGTTTAAGGAAACCGACTAATGGATACTTCGAGGCTGGGAAAGAGAACGACCTTTCCGAGTACAAGGAAGTCAAAAAATTGTTCTTAGAACAAGTTTAGAACCGTCATAGAATAATTGAATAAGTTTGAAAAAACGCCAAAAAAGGTAGTACTACCGACGAACAGCCACTGGTTAGGCAAAAGGGAATCAAAAACGTAATACTACACACTACACATCCACTCGTTAAGATGACGTAGGCAAGCTGCAGGGTTACACTAAGGCGACGCCAAAGCGGATACACCTCACACACGAACGGCGAATCAAAGAAAAACCATACTTAAAGGCACACACTGTGATGGTCGAGTGGGCGAAGCCAGACATTGGTTTATCCCTCCTATTACCGCCTGTTTCTCGGCCATAGAAGAAAGGCGTCTCAAGACGTCTGTCAACCGCGAAGCCTTCCTCCTCCTCCCTGTTTTCTTCCTCGTTTCCTTCTTTTCCCTTCCTACCCTTTCTCGTCCTTCGACGCTCCGCCAAAAAAAATCTTTGAGAAAACATCCACCCCTGCAGCAATAGAGATTCGGTTGAGGGAAGTCTCGAAACCATGGCAAGACGAGTGCACAGAAATAACGCCGTTGGCTGACCCCGCCCACTCGGCAAACCAGAACTGTGACTTCAAGTTCATAACTCTAACATGCTCCACTGACCTTTACTAGATTTCCACGTCAACCTTGCCGATTTATACTTCGCACCTGCAGCAGATGAGTAGTAGTGGCCTTACAGTCACAACCTAAACTCAGCAACACCTATAAGCAACTATGACGGGCACAAACAAACAAACAAAGGCCAACGGGAAGGCAAAGCAAATGCAAATCAGGAATGACATTTAGAGGAGCAAAACTCTTGCAAAATGACCTGCACTCGCATAGGTGAACATATTTATGGACACAACAACAAACAACTATGAAAATCAATCAAAATACATAAAATAGCGAATACGTTATACGTTACAACAATGTTTCGAGAAGAACAACCCAACACGTTGGGAGAGTTGAGGAGATCGGAGATCAATCTTTCCAGAGTTTCAACAACGCATCCTCAGCGATCGTTGCTATCAAATTCTGATTTGGATGATGGGCGAGGGCCAACACTTGCTTTTCACTGACCTAGAAAAAAACGCCCGTAACAGTAGAACGAGTATATGAAAATAACTCAGACAGCAAAAATAGCTATTTGGACGGATATTAGCTCCAAACACAACAAATAGTCTCCTGAGATCGATTCTCCGCGGGCCTTCTTTTTCGCAGCTAATAGGGAAAATAAGCTACCAGTACTACCACGAAGCAGGGCACGTCCTGTCGTTGAGGAAAAATGTGGCAAAATATGACTATGACCCCCACTCCCTTGCCTCCTCCAGTTTCTCCCAAAACGAGTTCGTCGAGTTAGAAGGGGGAGGGGGTTATACAGCACGCGTGAAACGAAAAAAATCGAGACACGTCAACAGCTGAAAGCATTTTTCCCAAAGGCAAAGAGAACCTCCTCCCCAAAATAGGACCCCCTCGCTGGGTAGTACCAATGTAGGGGGTGCTTTGCTCACAAAGGTCCCTGTTCTTATGCTTTAGTTTCTTCCACAAACCTGTATGCTACCTCTACTAATCTTCTGACTTTTTTGCCCCATTTGAAGAATTCTC